TGCATTATACAGACGCATGCATGTGGGCTACCTGTACAGATGCACAAAGCAACCCCTCAGCCTCCCCGTAGCTCATTGGCTCCAGATACAATAGTGAGCAAGCTGAGAAAACAGAACTGTACAGGGAGGCAGACCTCAATTTCATTCATATGAATTTGTCTTTGTTTTAAAGGAATCAAAACACACTCTGCCCCTAAGAAACAAAGCCTCTTCCCCTAGAAAACAGTTCTGCTGACACCAAGGAAATCAAACGGAGGACTCCTGAGGAACAGATACACGTTACCAAGGACTCACAACAAATGTTACAGCCACGTGGAAGAGTCCCAGTGAGAAATACATGGCATTTGAAAGTTTTCCCTTGAGTTTTCAAGATACTAATTATAAAATACCAGAGCAGTGAGGCAGCTGGAGCAGATACAAGGTATGTGTTAAAAGAGGTGAAAGGCTTAAAGCACACTCATGGAGAAACCGGATAGCAATCACCTCTCGTTTGATGGGTTCTTATATGTAAAGAACATCTCCAGCCAAAAAACAGGCAGTCTTATCTCTACAAAGACTGAGACATGGACACCAGACAAGAAAACTCTGCTTCAAAGTACCTTAGAAAAAAAATGAAGTCTTTACAGATCACACTTACTTCTAGATTCTAGATAAAACTGAATGAAATCTGAACTCCTCACAAACAGCAGCACAACAGCAGCACAACCACCCTGGTATCAGGGATATTGTACAGTAGCACATCTTTACAGCAGCATTAAGGCAAATAAAAAGAAAATAAAAAAAAATTAGAGATTTGAACAGAGATGACTTCTCATTTCTGTATATTTTTCTATACACTTCTGTATACTGGTTTGCTAAGAATTCACCTAGTTTAACAGACATGGCAGGAAAAGTCACATCACTTGCTGCAGATCACAGGCATTCCTCCACCACACATTATAAGCTGCATCTCCGATACATTTTTCTAGTACTATGAAAATAACAGCACTAACTAATGTCAAGCAGCAGTTTAAAACCCTTCTTTGTCAGGTATCAACTTGACAGGCCTAACATGGGTGATAATACGTATTTTGCAGTAACAATCCTGAAAAGGAGAACTGAATAAAATGCATGGGTTGAACGAGCTGATACCTGGCTTCCTACCCCATCAGAAAGCAGCTTCCTATCACCCAGCCCTGTGGTGTGAAGAAACCAAGGCACAGGGAAAGGACAGAGAATTTCCCAACCCAAAGCTTCAGCTAGGCAATGACCATTATGCCCCTGCTCTAAGTAGGTGTGTCCACTCACAGCAGCTGATCTATAGAATACTGATGTCTCCTGGCATACATCACCGGTGACTCCACCACCCTAGCCCTATGCTACTGCCACTGCAGGCTTTGCTATCTGCCCCAGGGGAGATGGGAGGGAGCACTGATAACGAGGAGGTGGGGCAAGATTCAAATCAGGCAAGTAAACTGGCTAATTACTGCTTTCAGCAGCAAGCAAAATGGTTACAAAGATAAATACAGTACTTGTACTTTAAAGACAGCTTGTATTTTCTAGCAAAGGTCTGTAAAATTGTTGTACTTTTTTTTCAGTTCCTAAGAAGTGAAACATGTCAAAAACCTGAAACTGAACGTAAGATTCAGTCTGAGTAAGAATAAGATCAAGGAGGGTTGACTGTTAAGTGAGTCAAGGTAATTTTAATTCTTAAAACGTTTCCTGAGTTCATAATACACAGAGAAAAGCTGTGAAATATCTCCAGAGTCAGAAGCAGAAGTTAACTGATGCTTCAGTACAGTACTGTAGAAGCACATGTTTCAGATGCATCCTCCAGAAAGGATAAAACCCCCAGTATTTAAAGAAATCCCCAGATACTTCAAACTAAGCTTACTTGGAGTGCTTGTATAAATGAAAACATACAAATTCAAGTCTGGTCGTTGGCTAATCTGTTTCCCACCCATGTAATATAATTAGCAACCAATTGAGAGTGGTGAAATAAGGGAAGCAAGATGCCCTCTTTTCTCCCAGATCAAGGCACTTCATGAACATCAATTAGATGTGAATATCCCTGGGAGGCAAGCCTGACAAACCTTATTAAGCCATGCTAAAGATTAGGACACTGAGTCACACAGAGATTAAGAACTTCCTCAAAATTAACAGTGCAGCCAGAGAGGGGGCAGCCACACCGAGCCGGGCCTGGCAGCACCAGACTGCGCTACTCCACCTTGCTACAAGGTTTAGTTTGTAGAGAAAAGAAGTAGTAGCCCAGGCTCATGTGCAGCTCCCCAGCCATGCCAGCATGCCTCAGCTTTGACCCGCGGGGACCATCTTTAGATACAAGAATGCAGTTTGGTTTCCACGCTCAGATCGCATTTTGGCTGAAAGTACCAGCAAGGTTGCCAGCTGTAAAAGGTTTTGAAAGTCAACAAGAGACCTCCAGATCTTTCCTGATAAGCTTGAGAGAGAACTGAAAACTTTTTGATACTGGTTCAACCCTATAAGCCTTGGGGCAAATAAATCTACAATCATCAGTCTTAGAGCCAGCCCACGGCTAACTAGCCGAATTCAAGTCACATGCTGAATTTACACATTAAAAATGTAGCGAACATGACAAGACAATTACTATAGTTAGGTTAACATAGACTTCAAAGCACAAACCAAAACCCAGTAAGTAGATGCCATATTCCATTAGCCCAAAAAGGTGAGCAGAGAAGGATAGGGTGCTGATTATCACACTCATTAAGACGCGTCCAAGGTAACAGCCCAGTTCAGTGTTGTAACCCATTCGGAAAGCATTTTGCCGTCTTAATCGCAAGGTACTCACGAAGCCAACGATTACTGTCACCTTTCTGCGGCGCGCTCGGACACACGAGGGCGAGCTCGCGGAGAAACCCAGCGCTGCCACCGACGCGCGGGGCAGGTTCTGCCCTCAGCTGCCGAGGCCGGCAGAAACCCACACCCGCGAAGCGAAGCGAAGCCCAGCCGCCGGGCGCACCGAGCCGCCGCACAGCCACTGGGCACCACCCGCCCGCGGAGCCCTGCGAAGGGACCACGCGGCCCCGAGCGCCGCCACCCGCGAAGAGGGAGAGCGGCTCCGGGAGCCCCAGACCCGCGGAGGGACCCCGCAGGAAGCGCCACTCCCGCCGCACCTGCTGCACCCGCGCCACCAAGCCCGACCCCCGCGCCGCGGACCTACCGGCGGCGGCAGCGCCGCTCCACATGCTGCCCGCAACTCGGCTCGGCTCGGCACGGCTCCGGGCGGGGCGGGGCCGGCGGGCCGGGGCGGGCAGAGGCGGGCGGGCCGGCCGCCCCAGCCCCGAGCGAGCCGCAGCCGGGCGCTCTTGCGCTGCCGGCAAGGTGCATGGCCCCGCCACCCCGACCGCAGCGTGTTTGGACTTCTCTTGTGGGTTTTCGGGACCGGCCGTGCCCGCTGCAGCGGCGGACCATCACCCCGCTCCGCCGCAGCCCCGGCTAGAGACTTACCTGCGAGACCTGCCCTGAGCAGCCTCCCCGAGGGGGGCACTAGAGAAGGTGTCACCTGTAAAGGGGGAAGTGGGGTTTGTGTGTCTGTGCCAGGACGTCTGGGAGAGTATGAAATGAGGAACCCGGAAACGACTTGTTTCTCCTGTTTAGGTTCTATATTTGAGGAAGTCTAAATGTTGTCAGATATTCAGGAGATTGAAGAGGATTTAGGTTCACAAGCAAAGGGGAAAACTACTAGAAAAGTTCAAGATAGGTAATGAACTAGCAGCACTTACACTACAACTCCTTGACTTTAACCAACAATAACAACTTGCTAAGGGTAGGAATGAAGCTTTATGAAAAAGCACAAAATAAACTCAATTAGGATTCACCTGAACTTCTGCAACAGGGCAGATAATTTGCTCCACAGGCAAAGCTCATCTCTACTAATGTAAAGGTCTGATAAAAACCTCAGCACGCCTACTTCATAGGGAACTGAAGTGGCGTTAAGGAAGGCTGTGGCAGAACAAATAAACCACATGAGCTAGCCGTCCTTTTCCACACTTGACTGCTATAAGCCGAATTTAAAGCTGAATTGAGTAACATGGAGAGAAAACAAGTGTGAATATGGCCCTATTTATCCATGAACAGGTAAGCGTAAGACACTCAAATGAGCCAAGCATTTAACATCTCTAAAATGTTGACTTTAAGGCAAGCATTTTGTTGTGGAAAATACTTCTCAGATTGGTTGAAATTTGTCTTCTTGCATCATGCTTGGCCAAACCCAAGTTTTACTCAATTATTAACTTTTGAATTGCAGTATGTTTGTCTGTTATGTAACTTTGAAAGATTAAATATACTTTTTCCTCAAAGTGATACAAGTTAAGACTATAAAAGTAATGGTGCATACCATTTCCCTCTTATCTGAAAGACTATCTTCTTCAGCAGCCTTGAGGAAGGCAAGAGCAAGGAATGAGAAAATGCTCCTGGCAAACTTCCAGCACAAGTGATCTGTAGTTAGCAAATTCTGTAGTTAGCGTATAAGAAAGATATAATATCTATGTGATTTGTACAAAGTCTTCCTAGTTTCAGCCCGGCATTGAGAGCCACATGAACACGAGATTCCTGCACATAGAACCCAGAAAATCCAAAGTCAAAAAGAATTTAACACCTCCTGAGAAACAGTCCAAAACTTCCTTCTTTAGAAAAGAGGTTCCATCTGGGTTATGAAAGATGCTTACAACACTGGCCTCCCATGTATCGCTTCCCCTGTACCAACAGTCCTCTTCCCTCCACTCCTCTTCAAAAAAGTTAGTAAGTCCATATAAAGACAACCCTCTCCTGCCAAAGTCTTTCCAAATACTTTATGTGCTCCCTAAGGGGACATGTCAGGGGTTGCACAAAGGGACGTTGCTATTCTAACAACTGTAATTAGTGTGTTTACTGACCATCCACAAACATTTGAGCTTTGAAAGTGTCCAGAAGATGAAAGTATAGTTCACACTCACTCATCTTAAGTATTATCATAACCATCTTTTAAAATTATGTTTCATTAGATGTTACTTAACCAGAATTAAGACATTCTTTATTCCCAGTCATACCTACCTCCCTCCAAAGGAAATCATATCTAAGACACAGCCTAATCACTCTGGGCTAAGATGAACACAGTTCAGGAAAGATTAGATGAATAAATGTTAATCAAGAACCACAAGTTTGGCATTATATGTGGCTCTGTTGTTATCCCAGCCCACCCTCCCTTATATGCAGCATGGGACAAAGGGAAAGAGCGAGCTGTCTGGGTGCTGTGCAGCCTCCCCTTCCAGTGAGCCCAAGTTCCTAACCCATTATTTTTAACAGTGCAGCTGCTTTGTACATTTTTGTGTGTGCAGTCCTAGGCTGTTCTCCCCCGTTGAAAGGATAGGAGAAAGGAGTAAGAATAGCCCTTATGAAAAATAATCCAGCCTTATCAGCTAGTATAAAGCTGTGCCTGCTAACTCCACTGCAGGACGTTCAACCCCTCGCTGTGGCTGATTATGTAAAACACTCCCTTTCCTGACATGTGCATGCCTATCTATTCAAATTCTTGTAAACTTAACACTATCTACATATCCACACAATAAAAGCCCTTCTTGTGGTATTTAAACAACTTGTCTGATCTTTTCTGATTAACTGTGGATTTCTGCAAAGTTAGCTGAACTTTTCTTTCTATACAAGAGACAGCCTGGTTATGTTGCAGCCTGAGTATCAGGAGAGCACGCTGAAATCCCTCCTCCTCCACCAATCATCTCCTTTATGACTTTGAGAATTCACACATACATGGTGTGTATCAGTTTGTGATCTACAGGGTGAAGGTAATAAAACTTCCTTACCTTAAAGGGGCCTATGAGGGTGAGACCTTGACATTCTACTGCATCACGTGAAAGGCTGTAATGGGTAGCATAGGTATATCCCTGCTCTTGTTTTGAAGTTTGTCATCATATTCATCTCCGGTGAGAATCAGTAATTAAATACAGATTTTCATGTTCTTTTCTTTCAGTAATGCTTTTTGTTCTAAATGAACATATGAAGACATTAGAGTGGTTCTTTTAAAGGAATCTTGCTGTATAGATTGAGCAAAGCAGCATAGATATAAGGAAAGGAAGTTGAATTCTTTATGTGGGAGCATGTAATTTTCCTGGAGCCTGGAACAGCTGGATTTTCTTACCACATGTGCAGGAAATAGCCCTTTCTACCCGATCCTTAATGTATCAGGTAATACCCTCAGCATGTAATGAAAATGTTCTAGTGTGAGACACCTTCTAAGCAACATTTCTGTTCAAGTTTCTATCTACTGAGCAACACTTCAAAACACTTTGGTTCATTGGTAAATAATGAACATTTAAACTGTTCCACAGGATCCTTGATTCTTAGTTAAAAAAACCAAACAGAAGTACCAACAAAACACACCTACCTGATTTTCTAGCCCTCTTCCCACAGACAACTACAGGTTCATTTGTTAGGGAAGTTTGGGGATGAGTCCTTCCTCACCCTGCCTTCCTCGTATTAGCAATAACTCGTACGCCCAGTGCTTCTGCTGCAGTAACAGTAGTAGGGCACTCCCATGTTGGTACAGAAGTGCCAGGATTTTTAATTGCCCTGAGTAAGGGGGCAAGCTCTAACAAACAGTCCCACAGCACACCTAGCCAGTAACACATCCCCAGGTTGGGAGCATTAGTCCTCCTTTCTTCAACTCAAACATTCTGTTGTTTGGGTTTGGGGTACATGTGGGGGTGGGCCTTTTGAGGTTTTTTGTTTGTTTTTCCATATGTGAATATCTTCTCTGTTATTTTGACAAAAAGGAGATAGAGCCTGTCTGATACGGGTTACTGACACAAACCTAGGAAACTTCCCTCTTTAGATCATAGGTCTTTTCTGGCTAAATCTCCTTGAGCCTAAAAAGGATTTTACTGATGTGAAATTTCTAATGCTACACCAAATATAAGAACAGGATGATCTCTTGTTCCCAGTATCTGACTCATTTTCTAAAGCACTTTGGTAAATACAATCTCATGTAGAGGGTATCCAGCCAGACAGCACCAGCTTCTTCAAAATCCAGCTCATTAATCAAAAAATTCCTTCTTTGAAGGCAAAAGAATGGAGCTTCACACTCTCTGGGATAACATTTTGGTAAGGCATGAAATTATAATTCTGTATTTATTCCTACAACAGAGTCACATCTCAGTGTCATTTCACTTGATAATGTCACCTTTGGTGATGTAACTAGGAATCATGGAAACATTTTCTGGGTTCTAAAAAGCAACAACCAAACAACCAGAACCATAAGAAGTTCCAAACTTCTCTTGGGGCATACATCATTTTGTAAGGCATATTTACATTTTGAGAAGACTTGACAGATAATCAAATAATGGACATGATGAAGGGTAGAATAAATCGCTATTATAAAAAGTTGCATTTTCTTCTTTTTCTATCCTTGCTGCAGCAAGTCTTTTTGTCAGCTGTTAAAAGATGTAGTCTTCCATAGGGATATATTTGGATTTTTCCCCCCTAAAGAATATCACTAGAAGTGTTCATTTTGTTAATGCCAAGTCCTCAGCCACTAAGGCTTTATTCCACAGATATTTTATATTTTCATTTCTGACATGTGGGTTTATGTGCTCAGATAGTTTTCGTTCTGCTTTGATTTGCAAAGTCGCTGCTCTAAGAAATACATGAGAGAATATAGAATGCATAGAGCTATTTCTCCTGTTGAAACAAATGTCAGCATCTCATTGACTTCAGAGAGAAAAGGATCAAGTAATTAAACATTGTTTTGCCTGGATTCCAATAGGCTTTTTATCAGGCCTCATTTTCCTAGCTAGCACTTGCAGCTTTGCTGCTTTGGATTCTGCTGACAAACAACTCTCTGTAAGTCTAACCAACCAAGCTCACAAAGCTGATAAGATTTCCTTCCTGTGCTGCCTTGTGAACACCTTCTCTGAAAATGTACTCTGAGTTTGGTCATACTTGATTTCAGATTAAGACATTGCAAAGTGAAACTTGAATGTCAGCTACAGTGATAAAGAAATAAAAGTTAATGCACAGTCTTTCAAGCCAAATGATTCCAGGCTGCGTACAGCTGGGAAATAGATTCTGCTTTGTTAGGGTGCTAAAACATCTGCATGAGTCGGTAACTGTCAGCTGCTTAAAGGATGTCACATTGCAAAATAGCTGGCTAGGTTGCTTCAGATTGTATCAGGAGAAAAATACAGTGATCTGTGATAGAGATGTTGGGGAAATTGGGGGAAGAGGGAGAAACAAAACAAACCCCAAACCAAACAATAAAAATACACAGAAAATTGTGTATTTAGCACACACTTGCATGAAAACAATCTGTAGAATGTGTCTATCAGTGAATGAGGACAGACATTTGTATTAAGTAAATACGTGCCTAATACAAATGCACCATTCTGTATGTGTTGTAGGCAAGAACCTGAGATTACTTTTTGTCTGTGGGAAACCTTCTGTCAGAGACAAAGATCACTTCCCAAATGCTTTGATGTTAGCATATTAAATCTTAGCAGAGACTTTATTTAATTAAATGTTATTTATATTTTGTGGGTGTTGCTGAACAAAGTCTTCCCTGAGTGTCATTAATGGAAGAATGACAGAACCAGTGAGAACCATCATGATAACTGAGTGCAGAGATAGCCTCTGGTGATATTTTAGGGAAATCATTGTTTCTCAGACAGCTGAGCACTCAGATGTACTTCTAGCACAGGATGAAAAAACAAGGTTGAAACCACACCACTTCTAATCGTGATGCTTCCAGTTTCACAGATTCTCATTCTTCATTTTGAAGTTAAACACTTATAGTAAGTCTGCACTATTGTAATTGTTTCTCTAGTGAACATGACTCCATATGCATGAGCTAACTTATTTTAGAAGTTTAATACTACATCTCTCTTTTTTATTTTATTCTCAGGGAAGGAGGTACTTTCTTTGGCAATTCCAGTGTTTATTTTGGGAGATTCTAGTGACTGATCATTTACTGTGCTGCCTTATGCTGTATTAGAGAAGAGATGACCTTGCTTCTCATGCTTTGCTAGGAAGGAATGGCTAGGAAGATGTAGCCTTTTAAAAAAGTTATCTAAAACAGATGTTTCTAACTTGCTCTATGGAGATAATAGAAAACAATCAGCAACTGCTGAGTATCAGTTTTGTCTGTTATGCATTATTGTCTGTCTTGACAGCATAAAATAAATAAATTATATGTATTCAACACCCTTTGTTTAAAAAATAAGGTTGCTAAGAAACAAGAGTTATGTGTGTTTAATGCCACTTACAATCAACATTTATACAAAACCATGAAACATAGCCATGATGAACTTGGACACTCTTACAGTGCAAATAAAACGCAAACCTGGGGTCTGGGCAAAGAAGAAATGTGAATTTTACTGTCTTGCCATAATCAGGACTCTGGCCCAGTGTATAATCACACCCTACAAAGTTCCTTTCCATGTTCTGGATTCTGTAACAAACGCCAGCTAATGTAACTGACATTCTTATTCTCATATTTACTCTTTCTTCATGATAACGTTGACATGGATTTCAAAATGATACTGTCAGTAAGAGTGGAATAACTAAGGACCTATAGGTTCCACAGAAATTGTGCACATTATGGTTATATATAGTTCAGCAAGAAAAGGTTGATGCATGTAGAAATTCGGCTTACCTGTAGATTTGCATTTCCGTCTGATTTATGTGTGCTACAAATGTTTGCATATATAAACTTTGTCCAAAAATACTCAGTTGTTGTCATGGTTCAGGAGGTAAGTCGTTACACTTGATGAAATATGCATAGTGCCATTTTTCACTACTACGCTTACTAGTAAAGAAAATGTCATCCAGCCTCCTACCTTTCACTGGAGTCAATCCTATGCTCATTTAAACCAATAACCAACTTTTCTTCTGACCTCAGTCAGCTGCAAAAACAAACAAAAAGGACCAAGACATCTGTTCAATGCAAGTATTTCGCAGTCCTCACTGGAGGTCAAATAGCAGCACAGTAACACAACTGCTAAAGTGAAAGAAATTCATGGCATTGATAGGCTATGCACAGTACAGGCACAAAAAAAGAATGTTTCCTAAGTTGGTGTTATAAAGTTATGAGTCTCTAAGCACTACCTTAATCTGAGGAAAATTATCCTCAAAGGCTTGGGCTTCTTTCTGGGTAAAAACTACAGGTGTTCTCTAACTCCTCCTCAGGAATATGTTCTGGAAAGTTTGTTTTTTAACTGCCTACTGAAACTTCAGGTTTTTTATCTCATATCCAGCTACAGCAGCACTGAAGATTTTTCTCTCTTATCTGATCACAGGAAAAAAACAGTTTATTCCTGTTTCCTTTCATCCCTGGTTTCTTAAATGGGGCTTAAAGCCATTTAGCTCTTTCACCGTATGTGATAATTAAGTTGTTGAAGCTTGGTCTACTTCAGTTTTCCCAGTTAAATTGGCCCCCTTCCAGCACTGTCAGTTTTCCATAAACCTATAGGGAAGAGCTCACCCTTACATAATGCCTCCACTCCCAGAGGAACTCTGCACTGCCATACAGATTCAGGCCATGTGCAGACATCACCGCTACCAAACCCATCTGCCAAATTCAGTGTCTCAGCAGGACACATTCCTCCTCAACACTGCTTATGAGAGGGAAGGCAAGTGCTGTAGCCCACCTGGCAGAACACAAGAAGTTTCACAGCAAGCATTTGCCATGTTGAGACCACATAGGGAATAAGGCTGTGGTCATTCTCCTTGCCATAAGCTTTGGAGATGTCAAAGATGGTGCAGATAATTGCGTCCCTACTGCTGCCTCCCTCTGAGGTGGCAGGCTCTGCGGCACCACTGTTTCCTACCACCACTCTGCTATTGTCACAGGACTTGACAGAGAGGTGCCACCTCATGAATTGCCATTGGCTCTGAGGGTAATGGTAATGCTTGTTGAACAGCCTCCTTTCTGTTGAGTTTTCTTAGCTCATGCAATCCCAGTGGATCACAGCACAAGCAGTACTGTTCTTGACAACCTGTAAAGTGTTTTTATGAACTCTATAACTTAGTATTTAAACATGTCAGCAATTTAAAAAAAAGAAATAAAAAAAGGATAACTTAAAGAGAGACCTTTTCTGAGTTGCACCATGTGCCAATAGCTTTCCAGTCTCAGTGCCAGCATAAAAAAAGGTATTCTTTAATTGAAAATAAAGTCCTGTGCATCTGCTAATTTGTCAACAGGGCAGTTGGCATCCCTTCACCCTTCCTGCTCATGTATACCCAGAGTTTGAAATATCAGATTTCAGCTGGCAAAGGAGGAGCCTGAGCACACAGAATGCAAAACCACTTTGAACTTTCTGGAATGGTAACAGCAGCACTTGGGGAGAAAGCAAAGCCTGGGCACAAGTACGTTTTCACAACAGCTGAAATGAAGACATCTAACAACTGCCACATTCCCAGGGAAAATCCTGTTGAGCAGAAACTTAGTCCATCAGCTTGTTGTACAATTGCTCCATGGTGTTCACAGAACTGGCATTTCTTTCAAGTGCCTTTCAAAGGTTATTTAAATTCATAGACAAGACTGACTTGTGGAACTCAGCACAACTCAAAAGTTGTCTTTTGCCGTTCAGTCTTTCTGATTTGAAAGCACTTCTTTCTGCATATGAAATGTTTCTTTTAACTATGTTGCACCTTTGCAGTTTCTAAATGAGCAGCAGTTATGCTGCTCTTTCAAGATATGCATCTGTCACCGCAATCTATAAGCTAAAGACTACAAGGTATTTTCAGTATTTAAAAAAAAAAAGTCAATTTGAAATAACTTCGCAGGATTCAAATGGTTTATTTACAGTAGTGCAGTACTTCCTGGTGAGTTACAGATCACTCCCTCACCTTTCACTTTCACCCACACAGACAAATATCTGTTGTCAGGCAGTAAACAGAAGTTTAAATAGACATGATAATTCATATTACATTTCAATAAAGTACAGTCCCTATCTAACAGGCTGTTTCAGAGAATGGTTTAGGGTTTACTGTGAAGCTTTACATATGAAATTTCCGTGTTAAAAAGTTCTACATTTCAAGCAGACTTCCATCTTTAATTGAATTACATGGCTGGTTTCCTTCATGAGCCCTGCCACTTCTCCTATCATTTACTCCAGGCAGTGATAGAGTAGGATTTTTTTTTAATGTACAGTAGAATTTTTACCACACATATATTTCACTGCACTTATGGAAAGCTTAAATGTACTTTTTTATTTCACAATATATACAGATTTTGGAAACTTGCCTGCTCTTGCCTTCTGTTTTGCTTAAAACTTTAGTCTACAAAGCATCAATAAGCATCTTAAACTAATGTCTGCATGTCATTATCTATAAATGTGTAAGCACTAGCCTAAAGGCAAAGGAACCCATAATACTGCTATCATTTACTGTTTACATTTAGCTTTTCCTTTTTAGTGAGTATTTTCCTACAATATTTTTTCATTTCAGGTTTTAGTTTAGCCTGCCCTCGGTACTATATGTAGCACTATTATCACCCTAGCAGCTCTGTACGCCAGCAAAAGAAGGTCAGCCGAGAGCAAGGGGTTGGAGCATCTCCCAGGGCCTGGCTGGGCTGTATTACTAGCACTTCTTTGGGCAAATATGCAAAGTTTAATGAAGCCAGTGGAAAAATTCCCACCGGCTTTGGTTAGCTTTGGATCCAGCTATAAATTAGGTAAGTTTGATTTTAATTCCATTCCTTGTCCACAATATTTTTTTTTCCTGTGTTAACAACATAGCTCCTCTTTAAACCATGACAGAACTGCTCTTTTCAAATGGTCAGTTTGCTAGTAAGTTACACTGTAATATGACCAGATATGGGTCCTAAGATGGCTGCTAAGTAGAGAAGGTCAAAAAGAAGATACCCTTTCTGGTTGTGGACAGTTACTGACTTCAAGGGAACCGTGCAGTAACTTCATATGCTTCATAATCAGCGTGTCATAAAATACCATTCTGAAGTGGAGGAGTAGCTGTTATCGAACCTTTCCAGAACAAAGTGAAGACAAATCACAGTTCTAGGAAAACCTAGGGAAATAATAGGAAAACTTGTCTAAGGTGACTCACTAATTTAACAATAATTTAACAGTAGCAGAAACAGTATTAACACAGGAATTCCTAGTTTCTGTGTCCCATTCCTTCCTCCTTTTGCACGTATGATATTATGACAATAATGTATGACATTATTCACATTATGAGAAGAAAGCACATAGGCAGTGCACAATAAACTGATAAAAGGATTTTATCAGTTTAACAAGGGCAAGTTTAAAGTAATGTGTTCTTAGAATCAACAGCATAGGCCATGTGAAAGAAGGACAGCTATCAAGGCACTTTGTTTTGACAGTGATTACTGTCCCTACACGTTCATCTGAGTAAGATAAAGATGTAAAGAAATACTACTAAGTAATTAAAGTTTGGTTTGGGGTTTTTTTAGAAATAATTTTTTCCATTAAAAAATACTTGTCTCGTACAACAAAAATCTATGCACTCATGTATCAAAGTATTGCTTTCTGAGTAATGATTTTCCCTCAGAACTTTTTCTATTTATAAAACCCCTTAAGCCTTTTGCAGTATGTTTCCTGTTCAGACATAGCACTTAATCTCCAGAAAATGACTCAGCCCATCAGTCCAGGCATTTCCCTAACAGAGGATTCAAAACAAGTGGGAAAATTGTGAGCATGCTCAAAACCTGACAACTCAAAATACTGTTTAAACTGATTCTATTTTTCTAGATCAGGAATATGTTTACCTTGTCATTGGAAGTGCTTAGATTCTTTCTATTTCTGTAATTACTCTACCATAACATTATATTTTAATAGCAAACAAACAGAGCTACAACTGAGATTTGTAACATGAATTACCCTTCTGCTGTTCTTTTTTGGGATGGGGTGGGCATTGTTGTGAAGAAATGCTCGATCTTTTTAGCTTGCATAAGAAACTATCTTGGAAACACAAAGACATAACTGGCTAAAATTGTAATTTTCGACTTACTAACTCACAGCTATTTTTTTCAGCTTTACAGTATCAGAAATCTTGTTAAATTTTCTATGCACAAAAATGAATGCTATTTAAGTATTCATTTATAAACATCATCCAGCATACTCATCTGCAAAAAAAAAAAAAAAATAGAGATGGAACTGGAAGACAGAGAGCAAGCAGTCTCAATTATCCTTTCAAGAGCAGAAGAATTATCAAAAACCGTGGATGGAGTTTCATCCTAGAACATGTGCATAACTGCCATTTGCATGATTCATCATGGAAGCAAACACAGAATTTCTTCCACACTCCACAGTAAAAGAAGAGCAATAGAAGTATTTCCTTTTATCCAGATGTAAAAAGACCAAAGCTTTTGGCATTTCAACCCTTTAGCTTAAAGACAGCCCCACCTGTGTGCATTGTCCTTATCTGTATGCACCAACAAAACCCCAAAATATTCCTGACACTTTGGAATCTCCTGAGAGACACAATCTACAAATAAACCTCAGGTCTGTAACACCTTAGAAGTAGTACCATAGCAATAATAGAATTTGCATTACAAAAAACAGGTTTTTATTTTGAGGACTTTTGAACCTCATCCTGTTTTGCAGCTGTGGATGTTGTGGCTTAAAGGAGTAGCAATTGATGTATAGTCTCAGCTTTCAGCCTTACAATCTATCGAACAAGCACTTGCCACCATTATTTTCAATGGCAGGTAAGGAGGAGGAAGCTATGGAGATTACACCCAAGGAATATCATTTACTCAAAATCTGTCATCTTCTATGTAACGGCTTTTTTTCTGTTATTGTTTCAGATACTTCACAAAACTGAGGCAAGGCAGAATAACCACCGTTTATGAGATCTTGGTCTATTAAGCACAGAAGAATATCCATCATCCACAGCATCAAAATTATCCTTAATTATTTTTTTTTTCACGATAATTACCAGTCCTTCTCTAATCCCAGTGGTTTCTTTCAAGCAGACTTTTAATACAGGTTGGTACTGATAGAGGAACATGTTAAATACCTAAACACAAGAGAGGGTTTTGAAATTAAACCTATTTCATATTAACTAAGCTAACGTCATACTTAAGAGTCTTCATATGCCATTTATGGGTATATGCATAGCATGGTAATATATGCCCCCATCCTGAACTGACCTGATTCCATGCCAAAAGTGGTCAGAAAAATAAGAATGCCATATCGTCTGACAGACAATGTCATTCTGATAAATGTCTGAGGTCACATTCCAGTGTTATCATCGTTGGCCTTTCATCTGCAAAAGCTGTTCTCTCACTTTCACAGCCAGCAGTACAGCAAAGTGACTCAAAAGCACCTAAAAAACATACAAGGATAACCACCATAGAAACATTAGGAAAAAAATACCAGAATGTTTTCAGCTACAAATGTAGGTTCAATTGTGTTAACTTCTATATCTACTTCAAGTTTTGTTCGAAATACCTACCTTCCTACATCACTATAGGCTTACTGTGGGTTCAGTATGGAAAACTGATGGAAGGTGTGAACATGCATCGAGCGCTTACAAAAGCTTTGTATAGCTAGTATCTGCAAAATGCCATGATTTCTCCCATCTCTTAATGTTATTTCAGGTTCCACATTGCCTCTGATATCAAGTGATATTATTACAGTAATAATACAGCTGCTTGTTAATACTATGAAATCTAGACTTGCTTTGCTAAGTCTTTGCTGTTAATCAGGAAAAATAAAACCACAGCTTGGGTAAGACAGTATGCCTACCATCCGTCTTTTTTCTGAGCCAGAGTTCTTTCAACTGGTCCTATGTGGGCAAGGTAACCTCGACTTTTCCTGCAAAATAGCATTTTTATAGCACTACATTATGCATTTATTTATTGGGAGAGGAAAGAGAGATGGGTCTGCAACGTCACTGCAAGTTTTCCTGCTGACCTGGAGAAAGTACATGGGACCCTTGCCCTGTAGTTGCAAGTTTTGATTTAAATTTTGTTTTGAAATAGATTTGGACAACTGCCTAATTCTCAATGCCTGTGTCCTGCAAGAGAGAGGAAAGAGGGAAAGAAGAAAGAAAGAAGAGGAAAAGAAGGAGGAAACAGGATTAAAAACAAAACTTCCCAAATAAATGTAGGTGAAATAATTAAACAGATACCTTGGCAAACTCCATCTCCTTTAAAGGTATTAGGAAATAAGGATTTGAAAAAACACGCAAGTCAGCCAAAGTTTAATTAAACAGTTCAACAAGGTACCTATTATTTAACAAAAAGTCATTATGCAAGCGCATTTTTTAGATTAGATGGAGCAAAATGAGATTTATACAGTACAGAACAAAACATAAACTAATACTGGGCACCAGTATTATTTCCAAGATCCCTGTTTGTATTGTATTCTTAAACAATTTCTTCACTCTCTCCTGTGGGGGGGGTAAACTTGCTTAGTTTCTTCTTTCCACCTCCCTCCCTACTCTGATATGGTAAATTCAGAAGTGGATGCAAATTGCAGACCAGCTAGAATTCAGCTTGGGTACATCCCATCCATAGGTAAATTCAGTGTACCTTTCCAGGGAGGTCAAAAAAGCGAACTTCATCAAGACAAGGCAAATAAAGAAACACAACAAGTCTATTGCTGTAAAAATCTTGTCAGATAGAGCAATAAAACCAAACACCAAGGAGTTACATATCAGTTGGCCTTTGGTTAAGAAATGCTCAAGAAGCAAGAGTCCACCAATTATATCAGGAATAGTTCCAAAAGAAGCACCAATACCACAGACTCAGAGGCTCTCACTTAGGTAGTAAATTGAGAAACTTGTCACCATAAGGTGCTGATTTACTCAGGAGGGAAAGAAGACTTTTCAAAGCGACAACTCCGATTAAAGCTTCTTCCCTAACTTGGCCCTAAAAAAAGTCTCATGAGCCCCAGAGGGCACTCTATCTCCTAACCTAGAGGGATGCAGCATGAGCACATTTCTGCGTGTACAAAAAGTTCTCAAGACTAATGGCCATTTATTTAGCTTCATCCTACTTCCACTGACTTCAGTGGTGCAGGATCGGATCTGCATCTGGGTGATAAGAAAATAACAGATTTTTTAACAATAAGCTACAACTATATTCTTCAATGCTATTTCAGGAAGTGCTTATATAATAAGGCTATAGATAGTGTGGGTTAAGTGATTTCTAAATTCAGTCATGTCCTGTTGGCTAGTAGTTACTGCTCCCCCAAATGCCACACCTCATCTGAGAGTACTGCCATTGTCATGCAAAGTAAATGGATAATCTTTCATCATGCTTTTTACCACAACTGAATATTAAAGCATTCAAAGTACTGGCTTGTTTTAAAACCATTCACTACTTCTGCTGGTTCTGAGAAACTTCTGAGTGAATTGTACGTGTATGTGCAAATACAAAACAACAGGAAAGGAGCCGTGTCTTCTACTGTTTCAACACATACTAGATGTATCCTTGATAGAAGAGGTTATTAATAATCAGAAAGAAAACAGGATTCAAATGAAGATACACACGTAGATTAAGACTGGAGGAAATTTATCATCATTTAACTTCCTATTTAAGAGAGGCTGTTCATTTTCAACCCTATACTTTCTGCCTGCATTATAGTACTTATTTTAGAATTATTTCAGTCTTTATTAAAAAGTGTCATGTATTAAAGAAACTTTTGCAAACCAAAGATGATTGCACCAGGAGCTGGCTTGCCTCAGAGTGAAAATGTGGCTTGAATGTAGCTAGGTTTTGCTTCCAAATTTAGGGTGTTTCTTCTGCTTGATTATAGAACTGACAGTCACCCTTCCTTGTAGGCTGTGATAAACACTAACTTTTAGTTTAAACATGTAAATTAGCCTCTATTAGACTCTTCCTCCTTGAACGCTGGTTGTTAATATCGAAACACATATCACTCTAGTGATCATGCCTTAGCAAATTATTTATGTCATGTTTTATAAGTGACTAGGACTCATCAGCACTTTCCACATTGACTGAAAAACATGTAATTTCACCAGAGCGAGAACAAATTGTTGAAAGGAACTGAAATAATTCAGACTAACTAATCTTCTAACTAACAACTTTTTCAGCCTATCAATTAACTAGCTATCTAATACTGCATTTCTTTCTTATTTTAGTCAGAATATCCATTGTCCTTAGGATGACCAAATCATTATTAGATCTACATAGGTATGTTTACCAGCCACACTTACAAATGCATGTCTACAGTGAAGCTCTATCACACATAAAGCTATGTCAAATGGTATTAGCTATGTTACCATCAATTATTTGCCTTCTTATTGCAACCCATCTCCAATTTCATCTGATTTTGCTTCTAGCAGTCTTAGGGCAACTACTCTGAAGTTCATGATCCGTATCTTTTCCAAGTTTAAGTACCAGTACACCATCTATTTTTTGTCCATTGTATCCTACAATTTGGTAAAAATACTACTTGATCAAACAATTCTTTAACCATCCCAGCTATAAGTCCTGTGAATTCTTGCACTACAAGCAAAGCTGTAAACATATCTTTCTATATACAACAAATTAAAAGTACAAATTGAGAGAGACATCGTCACACAGTGCAAAGAATCAATAATACAGTAATGTGACTTAAAAGTTTAAAAAGCTTATAAAGTTCTTACTCAATATATTGACTCTAACAAAACCTTTTAATAGCAGTGCCTGGACAGGCAGTTTAGCAGGAATAACAATAATCCAGTCTGCAGTAAATAAAGGTGTGGGCAAATTTCAAAGCATCTTGGGTGGTGACAGGGTCAAAGCCTAGCCTCCTCTACAAAGGGTAAGATGTTCAAATGCTTGAAATACTATTCTCAAATGGAAAGATGCAAAAATAACACAACAGTCTGAATCCAAACAGATACAGTAGCTGAAAAGTAATTACATATAAAGAAAAAATGAAAATCAGTAAATTCAGTAAGTGGTTATATTTAGAAGGCCTTAGTGACAACTTTTTTTCTGGTAATAAATTGTTGCCAACCCTCCTCCTTCTAAAGATAAATAACACCAAACAGACAGATTTTTGGTAATGAGAAACAAGCACAAAGATAGCCAAGACTTACCAGAAAAAGATGTAAAAGGCTGCACTGGATCATACGTAATAGTTATGCAAGAGATCAAAACCTGATGTTGTGGATTTCTATGGTAGAGTTAGATCAACCAGAAGAAACAGTTTCATTCACAGGCTGGACACCCTTGACTGTCAGACAGTCCCGGTTTATACTGGCCCTAGGCCCATTCACCCTAGAACAAACAAATACGACCCTAAAAGAAAATCAGGGCAAAATCTGAGCACAGAGCATGACTAATAACATTTGACTTTTAAAAGTCGCAGCAATATTTTGTCTTTTATGAAGAACTTAAATCATACAGTAACTTGAAGTTCATATTTGGAGAGCTTTTTCTGAGTTAAGCTGTGTTATTGTCCCATTGATAGATTTTGTTTCTCTAGTTTCTTTATACAGCATGACTGAGTGGATTAGAAGTCACTATAGTTATTCATGTGGGAGGTGACTATTCATCTGGTTAAGTATTCTTGTCCAAAACACTGCTGACCAATATGCCAGAATTGGTAACGCATATTGAACAAAATCCATCTTGTGAAGAAAGCCACTTGTAAAACAAACAGAACAGCTGTGATTACATGCATGACACGACAGAATTATTTCTCTACAAAGCAACAGAAGAGACCTGTGTCAGCTGGGGATCCTAAATTTAAACCAATCATCATCTGGTTTCATATATGCATCAAAACCACCAATATCTCAATATTTACTGGGAATTTTGGATCTGTAGATGCATTGGAAAGGAAGAAAGATGATTGTGGAGAGCAGATGTCCTGAGTTTTAATCCCAGCTCCTGTCTGAGTAAACTTGGCTTCTCCTCTCATGTGCAACAGGATGTGAACATATTTAGAAGCGTTTCTTCTTTGTGAAGAAGACCTTACTCATGTGATTACTGGGATAAGAAGTACAGATTAATGATTGTAAAGTGCTTTGAAATCCAGAGATAAAAGGTATCATGCAAAAAATTATTTTACACCATTTAATATCAGTTTGTTCATAATGATGTCATGTTATGAAAAAGGAAGTATTCTTAAGCTAGACACTGAGACCTGGCAAGGGAACTTGTATTCTGGCTGCAGAAAAATGTCCACGTGGCATAGCTGCATCACAGACTCTTACCTTCTTCATCACAAGATGGAAGTGATAATACTTTTTTTTTGTTACCCTCTTCTTTCCCTAGTGCTCTTATGCAGAACTAATGAGTGTTTGTGATGGGTGCAAAGCTGCTTGGTTAGAATGGTCATATAGCATAAGATAACAGGACTATCACCATACAAAACAAGGCATCATAATTTCTGTAGTCCCGAAATAAATTTCAAACCATGTAGGGGAAAAAGAAATACCTTTCTTTTCATGTACATAAAGCCTTCTAGTCTGGCATGTTGCTTGATTTCACTGGGCCTCCGGCCTTTCTGGTTCACTAGCAGATTTCCAGCTCTCAGAAAAAGGACTCACCACAAAAACTACTCTTTTTTTTGCCTCATCTTCAACCACCTGGTTCACATTTCAGCAGTACTCCTCAGACATTCAGGGCACCCCTCTCCTGTTGTAGCTCATCCTGTATCTCCTGCCAGCTAGTGAAAGAAAAAAAAAAAGAGCCACATCTCACCCTGTATCATTTTCCCAATCGTGTCTGCCACACCTGTGAAATACAAGGAAGTTTCTCCTGACACAAGGAAAGCATGAAAGGGTAAGTGAAAATGAAAGGGTAGAAGTGGCTGAAGGAAAAAAGAAGACTGCAGAATATTTCTGTAGCAGCGCTGTGGAAAGGGTTCTGTTTTTTCCTTTATTTTTTTACAAAAGCCTAATATATACAACCTAGAGAAGTGCTATAAAATGTCATTTTACTTTGGCAATGCTGCCCTCTCTGCAGAAAGGCTTAGTCTGCTGGAGAGCTCTAGGCATGGTAGAGTCACTGGGATAGGGCCATAGCAGCCTGCCTAATGCCTCCCTGTCATTGCAGCAGGTAATCCACTCATTTCAGACAGTAGCAAAAACTTCATGCTTCTCCATGACATGACCTTACGCATTATATAAGTAAATATACCTCTC